ACATGAGTACCAAATGAACATACATAACTTACAAAGTGCACATTGATATGAAAATCGTAAGGTTTGTTAGTTGAACATCATGACATTTTAATTGAGCACCCAACCTCCACTATTGAGATGAAAATCACGACTTCTGGAGAATGAGTAATAATGAACTTTTAATGAGCACCAGACATATTCTGTTGAGCATACTGAATACACAAATTGATATTTAAGCATACTCGAGATTTTAAATGAGCTTTTAAAATTTTTCTATGCTCATTTCGTAAATTAGCTATGCTCATTTGATATTGGTGTAATGTTCATTTTAAAATGAGCACTACACGAGACAACTTAAATGTCATATCCATGCATATTGGCGCAATGCTCATTTTGAACTTTTTGATACTCATTTCACGTGTTATGTATTCACATTTAATATTTGAGCATCAAACATCCGCTATTGAGATGAAATTCACGGTTTCTAGTGAATGAGCAATAATAAACGTTTAATGAGCATCGTACCCATTCTATTGAGTATTAGGATTCTAATATTGAGAATCGTGATCTCCGCTTCATAACTTCTAATTCACTTTCTTTTTGTTATTTTTTCTTTTATAAAATCTTATTAAACTATATTTGTAATCAACTCCTGTGAATTTCAATATATGAATTAATGTAAAAGAGTACTTTAAAAAATGCATCGATATGACATTTAGAAAATGAGCATAAGATCTCTACCAAATGAGCATACGTAACTTACAAAATGAGTATTAATGAATGTGTTAGCTGCTTTGTTATTTGAACATCACGACATTTTCATTGAGCATCAAACATCCTCTATTGAGATTGATGAAAATCACGATTTCTGTAAAATGAGCATTAATGAGGATTCGACCTATACAAATGAGCATATGTAACTTACAAGATGAGCATCGATATGAAAATTGTAAGTTTTGTTCGTTGAACATTTTACACACGCATTGATATGCCATTTTACATATGAGCATAAAATTAGTACCAAATGAGCATGTGTAGCTTAATTGGACATCACGATATTTCCATTGAGCATCAAACCTCCTATATTGAGATGGAAATAATGATTTGTATTAAATGAGCATTAATGAATTTTTAATGAGCATCAGACCTATACAAATGAGCATATGTAACTTACAAGATGAGCATTGATATGGAAAGTGTAAGTTTTTATTCGTTGAGCATCAAGACATTTTCAATGAGCATCAAACCTTCATTATTGAGTATTAGAATCTGCGATTGAGTATCATAATTTGTGGTCTTGTGTCCATAATCAACTCTTAAATAAATCTAATAATGTAATATGAGACTTTTGAAATGTGCATTGCTAAAACATTTTAAAAATGGGTATAGCAGAAATACTAAATGAATATACATAATTCACAAAATGAGTATTTAGAAATTCAAAAGCTCATTTGTGTATGTTCATCTTTAGAAGTTTTACTCATTTGAGTTTAATCAAGTTTTATGTAAAAATATAATGAGCAGAAGACCGCTACCAAATAAGCATACACAATTTACAAAATGAGTATCGAAAAATCAAAAGTTCATTTGTGTTTGTACATTCATTGTTATACTCATTTGATAAAATTCATTGTAATGAAGTGGCTGCGAGAGCCACAGAAGCCGACGTGATCACACTTACTCTACAGACACATAAATGTATTAATATTTAAGATATTTATAATACGTAAATTAATAAATAAGTCATAAGGTTACTTGAAATAAAAACTCCAACATTAAATAATATTTTATATTTTACAATTTCATTTGAATTGAATAAAAAATTAAAGCAATCAAAGATTAAACTAAAAAGAATAAAGAAACGAAGAATAAAAACAAAACAACAATATGTAAAAATTGTTTTTTCACCAGACTAGAGCAACGTACGGAAAAAACAAATCAAAAAATAAAAACAAATCAAAAGTACAAAACCACGAACCAGAAGGAAAGCAGAAGGAAAAAAAGTTGTAAGATTCAAAACAAAGATTCATAACAAAGAAACACGAACTAGAAGAAAACCAGAAGGAAAGTATAAGGAACGAGAAGGAAAGCAGGGACAAGACGAACTAAAGTCTGAAACGGAGGAAAAAGGAGGAAGAAAGAACCCGACGGAAACGACGGAAAACAGAAGGAAAGCAGGGAGAAATAGTAAGATTCAGCCCAGAAGTTGTATTTAATTTCAAAAATACCCGGCTGTACGGTGTTCACCGTACAGCCGGTTGTACGGTATAATTTACCGCATGGGCCATATCTAAGCTATGATAAAATAACAATTTGTTGAAAAATTATTAACATAGTATGTATTATGTAAAGTAGATATTTTTATATAGAAAATATATAGAGTAGTACACTAAATACACTTTAACTTTGATTATATATGCTAGTTGAAGGCAAAAAAAAATATAGATCGTATGAAGAGTTGCAAGTAAAAAAACAAACATAAGTGCAAGAATAAATTATACATGGTATGACAATGTAAAAACATGATAGTGCAATGTAAAGTGTTCTTTCGATTGTCCTAATCCTAATGAAGTTTAATAGAATAGGATAATTCTATTTTGAAATACTTCTTTATACATCATGTTATTACTTATTAGTGGTGATCACACTAACACATATTAGAAACTATACTTATAATGTGTGAAATAAGTTGGTAATTATATATATATATATATATATATATATATATATATATATCAAAGTCAATCAACTCTAATTTTATTCTTCGAATCGAATACATAATTATTTGTATTGTATTTGAAAGACATTTGAACCAAAAATCTGATTTGTATTTGTATTTATACTCTGATTTATTACAAATGGACTAAAAATCTGCATGCATAAATGTGTATATGGACTACACTTTGAGGGTATTGCTATCTTTTAAAAGTTATTATAGTGTTATAATGTTATTACTATTATTATTAATACTATCAATCTTATTATTCAAATATATTTGATTAATTTTTTTTTACACACAACACCAAAAAACTCTATTTTGATTTTTTTTTTAAAATCCCGGAAGGTAAACCACTAAAGAGTGGGGTAAATACCGGGGAACACTTACCAAATTTATTAATAAAAATGAAAACAAATTGCATAAACAAATAGCTAATGGGAAAAAATAAAATTAAGGAAAATAAATTATAAGAAGATTAAGCTAAGGAAAGAAAATTAATCTAAAGATTAAACTTTCAGACGCGATTGTGATCTTGTTTGCATAGATGAAGCCCGAATAGCAAGTTTTTTCTTGTTACGCCGAGAAATAACTGAAGTGAAAGAGCAATCTTCAGTGACCTCAATTAAATCATTTTGATCAGCCAAAACTGGAGAAGACGCTGTAGAAATAAATGAAGAAACCGTGACATCTTGAACCGAAGGCTCAAATATATTTGATTAATATTTGAATCGAATACACTGATATTCTTATTTGTATTTGATAACAACTCGAATCAAATTTAATATTCATATTTGTATTTGTATTTGAATTTTTCGAATTCGAATTGTCTCATGCGAATTCGAATCGCGAATCGAGTACAAATTATTTGATTCGTTTACAATCCTAGTTGCTTCCGGTGAATAACAAATGGATAGCCTATGTTGTGTAAGAGACCTCCTTCAAACCCTAGCTATGAGAATTAACCACCCAAAACCAACACCCACCTTATGATATCCCAGATAGCTTAGGCTCTCAAATCACTCTACATAATTGCAATACTTTGGGAAACTCATTTTCCCGTTCATCGCCCAAACCTTTCACCCGCATAATTCCGCCCAATTCATTTAGGCCTATTTCTATCTTTTCAATTTCCGCCTAATTATTTCCGCCTAATTCAGTCCAGCCTCATCTTCAACATCCCCATGCCTCCAGCTTTATCTTCGACATTTCATCTCACTCTCCCCAGAACGCCCGACTGGGTTGTCACCGGAAAAATAAAAGCTAGCGCTCGGAGGTATTAGATCCATCGGCGTGTTCACCTGCAATTCACAGAAGCTTTCAGGTAATCCAATTTGTGAATGGTTACTCGATTCCAAAGCATCATTTCATATGACATTGTCACATACTCCCTCCATCCCACAAAACTTGGCCAAAGTTGACTTGCACGTAGATTAATAAAGTAAAAATTGTGTGGTTGAAATTTGTGCAGAGGAGAGGGAAATAACTTTAGTCACATATTCCTTACTTTAAAAAGGAAATTTGGCTAAATTCTATGTGACGGAGGGAGTATAACATATTCAAATGGGATTTTTTTGACTTGTAAGTTGTAACCCTTTGAGTTGGACACTCGTTACTTTACCTAATGGTGAAGTGACAATGGCTACACATGATGTAATTGTACGTTTATGTGCTGGTGTAATACTTGAACATGTGTTATATGTGCCAAAATTGACATGCAATTTGATCTTGATCGGGCATCTCAATGAGGACATGAAATATATTGTTAGAGCATCTTCAATGGTACAATGTGCACGATGCACACGTGGCATGAGAGATGACCACATAAATATTAGTAAATAAATTATTTCTCTCCTTATTTGAATGATTTTATACAGTTTTGGTAAGTTTTTCTCCACAATGTCAAAGAGACCGTCTAATGTTGACATTGTTGTTGACATTGCAGGGAAAAACTTACCGAAATTGTATAAAATCATTCAATTAAGGAGAGAAATAATTTATTTGCTAATAATTATGTGGCTATCACTCATGCCACATGTGCACCGTGGACATTATAGCATTGGAGATGCTCTTATACTCTCTCCGTTCCACTAAATTTGGCCAAAGTTGATTTGCACGTAGATTAATAAAGTAAAAACTGTGTTATTGAAATTTGTGCAATGAAGAGAGAAATAATTTTAGTCACATATTTCTTACCTTAAATGAAAATGACAAAGTTTTTTGCATAATAAAAAAAAGAAATTTGGACAAATTTTATGGGACAATTTTAATAGGAATCGTGGTTTTGCTCTAATCAAAGATGGAGAAGAACTTGAAGGCAATCACACGCTACAACTCGGACCAATCATCAGACCTGATAGGAAATTCCCAATTAGGTTTTCAGATTTTTTAAGCCTAACTAAACAGACGGAGATCGAAGTGGTGGGCAGCTTTGACGGATTGCTCTGCTTATGCTTTGTCCGTCAAGATTCTCAACCATTAATTATTTTATGGAACCCTTCGATTCGAAGACATGTGGTGTTGCCACCTCCCTCCATCCCGACTTCAAGGAAAGGCAATCATCCAATTGGATTTTGTGTTTTGATAAGCGTTTTATTAACGTGTTTTACACAATCATTTATAAACGCTTTTATACTTAAAAGAATTAAATCTTCACACATATGCCTCGTTTTGCTAGAAGTTCTTTAAATCAACAAATGGATCAAATGCAAGGATGGTAGAATACACACGAAGAAACCGACGGAAAAAGGTCAACCAAACGCATCCCGAGGAACAAATAAAGACCACAAAAACGCCCAAGACAGACGAAAGCCGCCCGGTTTATGCCAAAGGCGGCCGGCCTTTGGTCCCCAAGCTTATTTTCGCATCCAAAGCTGGAAAATCTGATCCGGAGCAAGAAAAGACGAAAGCCGCCCGGCTTTCGTGAACACCGGCCGACTTTTGGTCGCCGAAGGAATTGTTCATAATTTAATTACAAAAGCCGCCCGGCTTTTGTAAATGGCGGCCGGTTTTCAGGCCCTGGAGCGAAGGCAGACTATTTTAAACGCGCAAAAGCCGCCCGGCTTTTGCGAATGTCGCCCGGGTTTCGTCTGGCACTGATTAAAACAGGCAACGGTCATCACAATCATTCGAGAGAAGCTCCAAACCCCATTAAGGAGCTTGCTTCCTTGTCCAAAAATGGCCGTTGAAGACCCAATATTTAAGCATATGGAAGCCCTCTCAAGTGATTATTCCATATTCCATACACTTTACTTCCATTTTAGCACTCCAAGATCAACCCCTTGGTCTTGGGAGAAGTTCTACACTTGGGGATCCCATTATCCACCATAGCTTTGGAGTTGTGGTACGGTATTATCTTCTTATGTATTTCATTGTATTTCATCAATTCAATACTTGTAATTTCATTATGAGTTGCTCTAGCTAATTTTCCATAGCCAAGGTTAGGGATGAAACTTTACGCATCCTAGGTGTTTGATGTATGTTCTCAACCAAATTATTATGATCTTTCCTTTATATTTTAATGTGTATGACTACGGTGTACAACGTATGATTATATCGTTGGGTTTATTTGAGCAATTAACGTTGAGTCATAAACCGTGCACTTAAAGGTTAGACATATTCTAATTGTGGATAGAAATATACCTCAATTGAATATGGTGGTTGTAATAATGTCCTAATCTTCAATGGGGTTAATTTTAGATGAATGTGAACCGTGACGGGATTCACACGTAGAATTAATCACAATCTCGCTGCCGTAACAGGAGTTAGAATACTTTAGCGACATTCCACTCATAAGAATTGGTGAAAGAATATACATTAATCGCTAGGAGTCGTTTAGGAGTAATCCCGAACCCTTGGTTGCTTTTATTATCACTTGAAAAACCAAAAATCTTTACTCTTTTACCAAGTCTTTTACAAATTATATTCTCAATTTTTGAATCATATAAACAACGTTTCCTCGTGTTCGACTCGGTATTTTTACCGGATTTTATTACTACATCGGCACTTGTACACTTGCAAGTCTAAGCCGATCATGTTTCCAGTGACGGTGACTATAGGGTGGTGTGGGTTCATGAAAACGATGGAGATAATGCTATGTCGGTTGAAATCTACTCTCTGAATTCAGGTAAATGGCGGATTCGACGATTTGATCACAATTTGTTTCCTAGAAGGTATTTATTTAGTGGTCAAGCTTTTGTAGAAGGTAAGATGCATTGGATGGGATGTGAGGAAATTGACTACGACTCTTATCGTACAATCACTTCATTTCAGATAGATGAAGAGATATTTAGAGAAGTACCATTCCCGGATAAGCTGAAGTATTATGAATACTATGGAATTATAAGTATTGCTGTAGTTCGGGAGTCATTGGGTATGATAGAGATGTGCATGCCTATTATTTGTGATGCAAGATTATGGAAATGCCGATACCTGGACTCGGCTATATCATATTGAGTTTACATACCATGAGGAATGGCCAATACCGTCAGTAGATGCATTTAACACTTGGAAGAATGTAGGGGTTTCTTCTGGCACACATCCACTGATATATTACATGGATGATGTGAAATATGGTGATGATACCTTTTACTATGTAACTGAGTGTGTGGACAGCCTTGTTTTGCTCGGAAATAAAGATACTGTTGCAGATGTTCATTTGCTTGAGGCTATTGCAGGTGCGAAATAATCTTGTTTAGGTTTTCTTGTTTGCTCACATCTAATGTATTTAGTCAACATAATATGTGTGCAATTTGACTATAAAGGTTCTCCGCTTCTCCTTGCCTTATATGATATGAAGTATTTTTAATCTTCAGTTTATTTTTCTTTTCTTGACCAAGTTAATCTAACTTTTTCCTCTGCTGCTATTTCTTAATGTTTAGGTTCAGGGTGCATGGAGGAGGAGAATGCTGGTGGTAGACAAGAAATCTAAGAAAGGTTTTTCAAACCATTGGTTTGAAGAATGAAACTTAGAGAGACAAGAGGAAGTAATCAGTTAGTATGTTACTGATCAAGAAAGATGAAAAAGAAGAAAGGTGGAGTCAGTAGAAATTAGGGCTGTTAACGAGCCGAGCTGAGCCCGAACACCTAAAGCTCGAGTTCGGCTCGATAAGGAATAAATGGTGTTCGGGTTCGAGCTCGAAGCTCGGCGAGCTTTACAAATGAGGCTCGTGTTCGGCTCGATAGGCGTTCGATGTTCGAATCGAGCGCTCGATAAGCTCGATAAATATGGTAGAATTTAAAATTTTAGGTGATGCTCGTTAATAGGCTCGTGCTCGAATGATTCGACAAGTATTCGGTTCATTAATAAACATATTTAAATTCATAAAATCATATTAATTATATTTAAATTTTGATTATATATAAATTATATTTATAATTTCAGGGTGTTCGTTAGGCTCGAGCTCGGCTCGATTAATATTTCGAACTTAAAACTTAACTCGGGTTCAAGTTCGAAAGCTCGTTAAGCTCGGCTCGTTAGGTTCGAAACCGAGCTCGAACTCGAATAGTTCGATAAAAGCTCGGTTCGTTAACCGCCCTAGTAGAAATGACCAGCAGCCAGCTCAACACTTCAACCCTAGAACTAAGATTAGTTATATACGAATGGATTTTGAAATGCTTTTACGGCCCTTCATTAGAAAATAAACCATTTTGATGTAATAAGTGATATGTTCTGTTTTTTTCCTCCTGTCCAGTAAGAATTCATATGCCAGATGACTTTCACATTACTAGTCATGTATAGGGAATCTCACCATGCTTTGGTCATATGTTGGTAAATTTCCCTATTAAATAACACTTAAATCGTTTAAAGATCTAACTCTTTAGTTATTGAAGATCAAGCTGCTATACGGTTAAGCCATTTCAAGGTGATATATATTATTGCCATTCGAGAAACTGAAGATTGAAATATTTAAATATATTTTGAAGATTTAAAGGTTCAAATATTTTAAAATTTAAAGACTTCAACTGAAATTTGTACCAAGTGAAAAATCAAATGGCAGAAGAATTGGTACCAGATATTACTCAGTCATAATATTACATTGATTTGTTATTGGCTTATTGCTTAAGTTTATTATACTTGAAAACTTATTTCAAACTAGAAATGTAATTGAGGGTGAGGGTAGGGGTGGAACTGGGCTAATCCGGGTCAGGACTGGTCCCGGTTGTTAATAATTAAAGCCTAGTACCAACCTGGTTCGGTCCGGTACCCGTCCCCGTCCGGGTCTAAACCTTACCGGTCTCGGGCCTGTACCTGGCATTCATTACTCCGTATTTTTTTTTTTAAATCTAGCTGTTTGGCCTGGACCGGGCCCCAAAATTCAAGCCGAAGCCCGCCTCCTATTCAACCACAGCCCGTGTACCTGAAAACCGGGCCCGGGCCAGTACCAAACAATACCGGACCCGACTCGTGCCGCCCGGACCTAGTCCTCCCCTACGTGAGGGTGTGCATGTTCATAAATCAAATGTGGAGCAGTTTACAAATGTTATCGCGTAAAAACTTACTTTCAGTAGGGTAAAGTCAAATGATAGTTATGAAACCAATTCTACAGTGGAATCAGCTCGCAAAATATCGGTAGAAATTCAGCCATATGGGAACATTGTTCTATCCATGTGATTAACCATGGGCACCTTCAAAATTGTACAATTCCGTTCTCCTTTAAGGGGTCTAACCAAAATTATAACACTGGAAGAATGGGATACTCTCCCAGTTTTACCAATAGCTACAACTGTAAGTGCTATATGCAAGAAAAAAAGATCAAACAAGCTTCTTTTGCTCAAAGAATTTCTTGAGATGCCACATTTGGAGAGCAGCGACGGACATGCAGACCAAAAGAGACAGAAAACTGAAGGTTGCCATCTTCGTGTTCGTTGCCTTCGTCAGTGCCTGCATTTCTTCTCCCCTGCACACCATGGTACCAGTTAGATTAAATAAAGAAATTGTCTAAAATGTGAGTAAAAACGTTTGAAAATTCCAAAATAAGATTGTTATGTTTGTATTCCATAAATAGTAGCCTGGTAAAAACGTTTGCATTCTAAACTAGCATGTTTAATTGTTCAAAGCCCGGTAACGCCAGAAACATTGAAGTAAAATTTTAGGACGACAGTAACGTTAATGTACTCCTATTTAGAAAAAAAAACATAACACTCCTATTTTGAAATTTCTAAACATTTTTAGTCATATGTCATTAATTTTTTCTAATGAATATTAAGCTAATCAAATCATGGCATACTGCATAAGTGCATATACAATGTAAACTTTTGAACTGTAGCATAGCGGAGGTTATCTCGGCTGGGCTAGTACAAATCAAATTTTAAAAAAAACTTACTTTTTACACCTAAATGTAAAGCATTTTTTAAATCTGGGATTGTCTAAGCCTAATATTGCCCTATTCTAAATATGCCCCTACTTTCATTGTTATTTGGTGACATTTATGTTATTTCTATGTTTATATTTGTGCTTTTGATTAGTTTTGAGTGATTGTTACTCTAGAAATTACACACTTTTGGTGTAATAGTTTAGTTTATAAAATGTTTGTAAATTGTTTAGATTAGGTTTGTTCTGAGCTCAAACAGGTCCAAGACCACTCTAGGGACCATTGGTGAACATCACAAGTGGAAGGAAGGTGCAAAAATTCCAAAACAAAATGAAGATCCTGAATTTTGGTGTTGTACCCGGTCGAGTATACCCTATACCCGATCGGGTAAGTTGCTGAAAAATCAAATCGGATAAATCCGCGAACAAGGCAACATGCAGGGAAGATTTTAAACACGATCGAGTGTCTATACCCGATCGGGTAGCCGACATACCCGATCGGGTATGCCCATGTTTTTCCAGCTTCTGCGAAGCAACTGAAGGCTCGATCGAGTACCCAATATACCCGATCGGGTACATAACCCTACAAGCCCAAAAAGCCTATAAATACACCCCAATTCCTTCACAATAAATCACCAATTCCTATATACTTCTAAGCTCAGTTTAGACAAGTTCTTTCTTTATATTTTTATCATGTTTAGTCTCCAAATGAGGAGCTAAACTCTTCCATCTTGGTTTTGCTACTTTGAAGCTTAATGATTTGTAAGTTGTGAGTTATTTTCTTTAATCTTCTTCCTTGAATATTAATTACTTCCTATTCATATCCCATATTAATATATTGAACATTACTTAAAGTATCAACTAGTCTTGTTCTATATATTAATTATTACTAGAATCAATCGGTTAATACGCTTGTTATTAATTCGGTTCTTTCAATGGTAGTAAACTTGGATTGCTAATGCATGCTTCTTATGGTTAATAATCTAAGGGGAATTAATTATATTGATTAAACCAATAAACCGCTTGTGTTGAGGTTATCAATCTCAATCGTTTTCATCTTAAGTTTATTGCTACTGTCAAGTTAATATACGGCGCTTGTTCTATATTGACTCGATGGTAAGTTTTGTTAATGAACGCTTCTCGTTATTAATAACTACCCTCGATGAACTGGATATACTCCTCGATTGAGTATTCGAGAGGAAGATAGTTAAAGATATAACCGGGATCGACGAACATTTCATTAAGTGGATAAAAGCAAAGCCAAGTCTTCTTCTCATTAATTAAACCACATAACTCGTTCATCTTCGTGTTCAATTTTGATTAAATCATTCAATCAAAACCCCCCCTTTATTTGTTAGTTTATAAAAAGAGAAGTATTCCTTTCCCTGTGGATACGAACCTTACTTCAATATACTACGTATATTTGTCGTATTGTATTTATTTTGATTGCACACCACGACAAAGTGCACGTCAAATTTGGCGCCGTTGCCGGGGAAAGGCAATTATTTTTCTTTTTATTTCAAGAAAAATAAAAAAAAATATAATTAACCAAAAATATAAAGAGTTCTTATTTTTCTATTTCTGAGCTTTGTGAAGTATATGGTCCGATATCGTTCCATAAACGAAATCACTTATCAAACAAACCCCGAAATAGAACAAGCCTTCGAGAGGTTGAGAAATTTATTTCCGCACACACCCTCGGAGGAATCCTCAAACGCTAGCTCTAGTTCTAGCGAATCTGAAGAGCCAATCACTATGGCTCAAGAAACAAGAACTTTGAGGGAGCTCACGGCTCCAAACCTGAATCAACAACCATTGTGTATTACCTTCCCCACTCTTGATGAGGGTAATACATTTGAGCTCAAATCGGGGCTTATTCATCTTCTTCCTTCCTTCCATGGCTTAAGAGGGGAGGATCCAAATAAGCATCTCTCGGAATTCCATGTTGTTTGCACAAGCATGTGCCCCAACGGAGTCACCGAGGAGCAAATTAAGTTGAGGGCTTTTCCATTCTCCCTCAAAGACACCGCAAAGGATTGGTTATTCTATCTTCCCTCGGGAAGTATAGGTACATGGGCGGCCATGAAGAAAGCTTTTCTCGAGAGGTATTACCCCGCCTCCGTCTCCTCATCTCTAAAGAAACAAATTAGCAATGTGGAGCAAAATGATGATGAATCGTTCTATGAATATTGGGAACGGTTCAAAAAGCTTTGTGCAAGCTGTCCATACCACGGCTATTCGGAGCAAGACCTCATCCTATACTTTTATGATGGTCTTTGCAATGATGATAGACGAATGATCAACGCCGCATGTGGGGGAGGAATCGTCAACAAAACACCTTCCCAAGCAAGAGACCTCATCTCGGAGTTTGCCGAAAACTCGAGACACTATAGCGGGAGGTCATCAAAAAAACGAGTGATGGCGGCAGAGTCCAACACCTCGTTGGAAAGTCAAGTTGCCGGCTTGACTTCTTTGGTTAAGGATTTCCTATTAAATTCCAAAACCCAAGAAGTCAAGGTCTGCGGCATTTGCACTCAGCAAGGGCACCCAACCGACTCATGCCCAACGCTACAAGAAGACAACCCCGAACAAGTCAACGCTTTGGGGTTCCCAAATCAGAAAAGGTACGACTCCTATGGCAATACTTATCACCCAGGGTTTAGAGATCACCCCAATTTGAGATATGGGAATCCGCAAGGAAACCCACCACAAAATAACCCTCCACAAAACCAATTTCCTCAAAAACAACCGTACTCTAAACCCCAAGGCCAAGGCTCAAGTATGTCCACCGAAGACATGATCCGAGCACTCACCTCAAATGTCTCAACCATGCAACAAAACATGGTTCAATTCCAACATGAGACAAAATCAAGCATCCAAAACCTTGAGAATCAAATGAGCCAAATCTCAAGTGCCGTGAGTAGGCTTGAAGCCAAGGATTCAACAAAGCTTCCATCTCAAACGGAGCCGAATCCTAGGCAACAAGCCCATGCGGTAACGTTGAGGAGTGGAAAAGAGTTGGTGATTGCCAAGGAGAAAGCCAGAAGCCACATTGGCGAGGAAGAAGAAGAGGAGCTTGTGGATAAAGCTCAATCGGAAGAGGAGGAGAGTCACATACCGACTCCACCACCGATCATTCATGAAGTGGAAGCACCGTTTCCCGAAGCTCTAAGGGAAACGAAAAGGGTGGAGAAAGACAAGGACATCTATGAGACATTCTCCAAATGTGAGGTAAATATTCCTCTTCTTAACTTAATAAAAGGTGTTCCTAGATTTGCCAAATTTTTCAAAGAGTTATGCACAATAAAAAGGAAGCATAGACTCAATGGAAAACAAAAAGTCCAAGTCAGTGAACGTGTTTCGGCAGTTTTCCAAAAGAAACTCCCAAAGAAATACAATGACCCGGGCATGTTCACTATACCTTGTAAGTTGGGAGGTACTACGTTTTCAAAGGCCATGCTAGACTTGGGGGCATAAATTAATGTCATCCCTTACTCTTTGTATAAATCACTTGAA